GAGAATAATTCAGGTGCATGTTGAGGTCATGCAATATTAATTAATTAATTAATTAAGCTAAATATAGCCCTGTATGTTTTGTCTACACCGGCTAGATTAAAGGCTGTCAGTTTGAGTTATGGCGGACCAACCAGCTTGTCGGGTTGTCATGTTACTTAAAAGGTTGTCATCATCAACAACAAAAAATAACTGAAAGATTGTTACGACCCCACTCCCACACACCAACTTCCAAACACCAACACTCACACACCAACATCCACACACCCACTCCCACACACAGACTCCCACACAGCTAACCCCCACCAATAACAAACAGACAATATCATCACAATACCATTGTTTTACGACCAAACTTACGACCTACCCTTTAGAAACGTCACTTAACAAAGGGGTCAACCATGAACGACGTCACACTTTTTTAAAACGTTTTCTATCTTCCTCATGTCTATTGTCACACAGTCACATAAGTTCGGATCATCCACCTCACCTAGTATCCCCCCCCCACCTCCCCTAGGATCCCCCACCTCCAATAATATCCCCCACCTCCGCTAGGATCCAACACCTCCAATAATATCCCCCACCTCTCCTATAATCCCACCCTTTCATAAGATCACCCCACCTCCCCTTGGATTCTCCCCCCCCCCCCCCCCCCACCAAAAAATTGCACCTCGTTTAAGGACAACCCCAATGAACTGGATTAGAGAAAGATAAACAAATGTGGGGCAACGTCGGCATTTTTTAACCCTTTCATAAGGTGATTGTTTGTTCTTATGTGGGCCGATTAGGTCATTGACCTCTTTTAAGGGGTGGTGTGGTCATTGACCTTTTAAGGGGTGGTGTTGTCATTGACCTGTTTCAAAGGGTGGTCATTGACCTGGTTCAATGGATGGTGTGGTCATTGACCTGTTTCAATGGATGGTGTGGTCATTGACCTGTTTCAATGGGTGGTGTGGTCATTGACCTGTTTCAATGGATGGTGTGGTCATTGAACTGTTTCAATGGGTGGTCATTGACCTGTTTCAATGGGTGGTGTGGTCATTGACCTGTTTTAATGGGTGGTGTGGTCATTGACCTGTTTCAATGGATGGTCATTGACCTGTTTTAATGGGTGGTGTGGTCATTGACCTGTTTTAATGGGTGGTGTGGTCATTGACCTTTTTTAATGATTGTCATTGACCTGTTTTAATGGGTGGTGTGGTCATTGACCTGTTTCAAAACGTTGTGTGGTCATTGGCCTGTTTCAATGGGTGGTCATTGACCTGTTTCAATGGGTGGTGTGGTCATTGACCTGTTTCAATGGGTGGTGTGGTCATGGACCTGTTTCAATGGGGGGTCATTGACCTGTTTCAATGGGTGGTGTGGTCATTGACCTGTTTCAATGGGTGGTGTGGTCATGGACCTGTTTCAATGGGGGGTCATTGACCTGTTTCAAAACGTTGTGTGGTCATTGACCTGTTTCAATGGGTGGTCATTGACTTGTTTCAAAACTTTGTGTGGTCATTGACCTGTTTCAATGGGTGGTCATTGACTTGTTTCAATGGGTGGTCATTGACCTGTTTCAATGGGTGGTCATTGACTTGTTTCAATGGGTGGTCATTGACCTGTTTTAATGGGTGGTGGAGTCATTGACCTCTTGCCGTAGGATAGGACAATGTGATCATTTTCCCGGGTTAAGGGTCACAATGTACCAAAGCATTGAATCCATTGCCATCGTTTTCTTTACCAACCCCGGTTCAAGTATTGTCTTTTTCTCCCATTCTCACGCGAATCCCTGCATAGTGACTGTCATTCCATTCTTACCCATGCACAATCATACCCACTACCCCCTCACACACACACATACTTTCCCCACACACCGCCCCACCCTCTCCGTACAACGGTCCCTCTCATGTAAGTTGACGTAGCTCAATAAATCTCCCTGTCAATGAGGTCAGGAGGGAACATTAAATGGCAACAATTGGGGCATAAGTTGTCGATCATATTTTAGATATACAGCGGGGCACAAGTTGCAATATCTGGCAAACTATGACACAAATGGGGCACAAGTTGCAATATCTCGCAAACTATGACACAACTGGGCACAAGTTGCAGTATCTGGCAAACTATGACACAAGTTGCAATATCTGGCAAACATGACACAAATGGGGCACAAGTTGCAATATCTCGCAAACTATGACACAACTGGGCACAAGTTGCAATATCTGGCAAACTATGACACAAGTTGCAGTATCTGGCAAACTATGACACAAGTTGCAATATCTGGCAAACTATGACACAAGTTGCAATATCTGGCAAACATGACACAAATGGGGCACAAGTTGCAATATCTCGCAAACTATGACACAACTGGGCACAAGTTGCAATATCTGGCAAACTATGACACAACTGGGCACAAGTTGAGTTTATTATAAATTCACTTTAAAACTGGGCACAAGTTGCAGTACCTGGACAAGAGTCGTTCGCTAAATCCTAGAAAGTTGGCCAAACGTTGCCTTAACACCCTATAAAACTGGGCACAAATAGCCTTTAAACACCGCATACAACTAGGCACAAATAGCATTTAAACACCGCATACAACTGGGCACAAATAGCATTTAAACACCGCATACAACTGGGCACAAATAGCATTTAAACACCGTATACAACTGGGCACAAATAGCATTTAAACACCGTATACAACTGGGCACAAATAGCATTTAAACACCGTATACAACTGACACGTATACTTATGTGTGTTGGAGGGAATCTCTTCCAACACTAAAATTAAGAACGAAGAAGAAGAAGAATGTGTCCGGTAAAAGAAAACAGGTTTGAGGATTCTAGGAGGTAAAATAAACTGTCGAAAATAAAATCTAGTCTTTTACTGACGTGGTACTCTCAATATTGGCTACAGTCAATAGTACTACACATTTCAAGTCATGTACTGACTTGGTACTCTCGCAACAATGGCTACAGTCAATAGTACTACACATTTCAAGTCATGTACTGACTTGGTACTCTCGCAACAATGGCTACAGGCAATAGTACTACACATTTCAAGTCATGTACTGACTTGGTACTCTCGCAACAATGGCTACAGTCAATAGTACTACACATTTCAAGTCATGTACTGACTTGGTACTCTCGCAACAATGGCTACAGTCAATAGTACTACACATTTCAAGTCATGTACTGACTTGGTACTCTCGCAACAATGGCTACAGTCAATAGTACTACACATTTCAAGTCATGTACTGACTTGGTACTCTCGCAACAATGGCTACAGTCAATAGTACTACACATTTCAAGTCATGTACTGACTTGGTACTCTCGCAACAATGGCTACAGTCAATAGTACTACACATTTCAAGTCATGTACTGACTTGGTACTCTCGCAACAATGGCTACAGGCAATAGTACTACACATTTCAAGTCATGTACTGACTTGGTACTCTCGCAACAATGGCTACAGTCAATAGTACTACACATTTCAAGTCATGTACTGACTTGGTACTCTCGCAACAATGGCTACAGTCAATAGTACTACACATTTCAAGTCATGTACTGACTTGGTACTCTCGCAACAATGGCTACAGTCAATAGTACTACACATTTCAAGTCATGTACTGACTTGGTACTCTCGCAACAATGGCTACAGTCAATAGTACTACACATTTCAAGTCATGTACTGACTTGGTACTCTCGCAACAATGGCTACAGGCAATAGTACTATGTATAAATAACCTCAAGACATTGTTTATCAACCACACAAAACAATGTTGATACCAGTGCCATAATTTTGACTGTTTGACGTTTTATTGGGCCCAACAGATTGCAGTATTTGGGTTGAATCACATACAATCTCTCTTATCAAAAGTACATGCATTTTTAAATATAAACTAAAACTCGTTCATTCTAATAAATCATGTTTTTCTAATTTCTAATTTTTTTTTTTTTAATTTTTTTTTTTTTTTTTTTTTTTGTAAAAGCAAACTAAACAGTGGTTTTTATCCAAGCGTTTTGTCAAGTAGAAGATGAGGGGGGGGGGGATTTCCAAGAAAGGGGTGTGTCCAGGTTTTGTGTGTGTTCATTATGGTTTTTTCCCTGAACCACAAACGTTGCTATAGTATCGCCAAATGGCCCGTCTACTCTCAATACGCACACCAGGGTTGTAGCCCCCGTCCCACAGCTACTGTAAAAATAAGATATACTAGATTACCCGGTTTCCCTTTGGAAAACGGTCTGTTGTTCGACACCTACCCCAATACCCCTACAGTATGTCTACAGCACCTTACCATTCTAAATCACACCTTTCTCACGCGCAAACTTTTGTCCACTCCGTCGGCAGTATTTTACACATTTTTGTTCAAAAGATATACTTAAAATCTAATTCCTTACAAGTAGAATTAAGAAGAAAATTCTTGGATTATGTAGCAAGAAAAAATTTTAAACAGACAATTTCCGGAATATCAGTCTGAAGTGACTTAGCAAGAGAACACCTCCAGTATTTGTGCTATGTGGGTTGTGTCCCCTTCCCAGCACTTTGAAGAAAAATTTTTTTAAAGTATCGGCCTACTTTAATATTCTTATCGATTGGTCAAACTGAGTCATACCCACATGTTCGTTAAGTGGTATCGCTTTAACTGGTAGGATATTTTATATTGCTAATTATGATATTTTATATCGACAATGATGTTTTATAGCGACAATAATATGTTATATCGACAATGATGATATTTTTTAGCGACAATAATATTTTATATCGACAATGATGATATGTTATATCTCCCACGATATTTTCTATAGCTAATGATATTTTATATACACGATATTTGATATCGCCGATGATGATATTTTATATCGACGATGAGGATTTTTCTTATATCGCCAACGATGATTATTTTTTTAATCGAAAATGACATTTCATGTCGCCAATGATGATAATTTAAAGTTTTGGGCTATAGTCAGTGTTAAAATGCCAGAATATAAAAAAAAATTCACAATTACTGTCTACAACTTACCTTATAAAATAATTGTTTTTCTCTAAAAACTAAGAAAATAATTGTCTTTTGAAATCCACTACCATTAGTCCGTGTAGAGACTTGGTGTTGCTGTGTTGGCAAATGCTCCTGGTTTTTATCAGAGGTCCTATTAAATTAGACTCAATGTCCTTTTAGGACCTATTATATCATGCTTGAGAATGTAGTGTGGTCCTTTTAGAATATTTAGCATGTCCTAGATCTAAATCTAGTACTGAAGATAAAAACAGTACCTGTCTTCAAATTAAAATTAGCTTGCTTGCATGTAATATCAAGAGGCTGAAAGTCTTAGTTTAGTTAAAAAATCGGATTAACCTTGCACAAATAAAACAATTTCGCAAGTAAAAATTCACCACAATTAAAATATTTTTTTTTTAGAATCCATCCACAGTTTATGAGCAGTTAAAAAAAAACAACACCATTAGCCAACCAACGTAGTCACCCAATGATTTGTGCTGCTGTATTGTTTGAACGCCGTCTGCTGCATACGTCACACCCCGCCATTCGAGGGAGACAATTCTGGTCCTTGTTTTGTCCACGACAAGGGCAGACGTGCTATCGTCGGGTCCTTTCTACACGGTGGGTGGCTGTGTTTGTGGGTGCTCTGAACTAGACCAAATTTCTCTCAATCGCTGCCAATGGAAGATTTAAACAGCCGGACGATTGGTTTAAATGGAAGAGCTATTTTAGAGAAAAATCAAAAGTTAATTCTAAAAATTTTACATGAATGATATATATATATATATATATATATATATATATATATATATATATATATATATATATATATATATATATATATATATATATATATATATATATATATATATATATATATATATATATATAAATTACTACTTCCAGTCAACGGAAATTACTCAAAATTCAAAATTTAACAGAAGGTAGAGAATTAGATCTTTTACTTATATGTGAAATTTCATTTATCTATCTGAAATAGTACTCAAGTTATAGGCTTTTGAAAAAATTCAAAGTAAGAAAAGTACCACTTCCGGTTATCGGAAATCGCTCAAAAGTCGATACGGATCTACGATTTTGATAAAATACTTATATATGAAATTTCATCAACCTAGCTGTAACGGTACTCAAGTTATCGTGTTTACACACGGACAGACAGACAGACAGACACACAGACACACGGACAAGATTGCAAAATTATGTTTTTCCGTATCAGTGAGGTGTAAAACGTCGAGATTTGTAAAAATCTCGATTTTTTTTTTGCACGATTACAAGACTTTCTCTATACTTCGTATATACGAGAAAGTAAAAAATAATACAAATCAGTCAAATTGTTTTCACTGTTTATTATGTCAACAAAAACAATACCTCTGACATTGAACCTTAACCCTAATTAAATTTATAACCTGAAGTAGATTGTACAGGTGTCTACAAACGTCACTGTGAATCGTCTGAAAATTTATGTTGGGATTCCTTACAATATAGACCCATGTTTGTAGACCGTTAAAGTGGGATTCAGTAAAATACAGACCCACGCTCTTAGACAGATTTTTGGGGTTAAAGCTGGCGAAGCCAGTCAATACAACATTTAAATAGAGTTCAGCGTGTTGTTAAGTTACCCTTACAAACCTGACTGTCCATGGGCAGAGGCGATGCTAGGGGAGGGCAGGGGAGGGGGGGCGGCCGCCCCGGGCGCCGACCCAAAGGGGGCGCCAAACGGGATAGAACAAAATAAAAAACACATTCTGAACAATCAAATAATATATTACTACATGGCCTTACAGACTGATTTTCTGAATTGGTCTATGTATGAGTGGGGGGGGGGGGCTTTTTTTTTTACCAACGTTTGAATAGGAGTCGTACAACATTGATAGTTCGCCCCGGGCACCAGAACAGGTCGCTATGCCCTTGTCCGTGGGACTGACGATTGAAGAAGTAGAGTTCAGTCGTCTTTAATAACGTGAGTCAGGTACCCATTAGAGCTGGGTGGACTCAGGGAAATCCTACGAACTCGAGCGTTGGTCTCCGAATTCGAAACTTAAGGCGTAACCAGGTAGAGATTAAGTCTAGGGTAGAGGCGTAGCGATGGGGGGGGGGGGGGGGCAGGGGGACATATGAAATGGGTTGTAAAAACAAATTAAAATGTCCTTTTAGCTGCATCTTTGCAGTTGGGGGGGGGGGGTTCAAATCGAAAGTTTGAGGAGGGGTGCAAATCGAAAAGTTGAGGGGGGGGGGGGGGCAAATCGGAAGTTTGAGGAGGGGTGCAAATCGAAAAGTTGAGGGGGGGGGGGCAAATCGGAAGCTTGAGGGGGGTGCAAATCGAAAGTTTGATGAGGGAGGGGGTGCAAATCGAAAAGTTGAGGGGGGTGCAAATTAAAAATTTGCTCCGGAGGGGGGGCGCCAAATTGAAAGTTTGTCCCCGTGCGCCGGGAAGGGTCGCTACTCCTCTGGCTAGGGTTAGCTTTAGAGTAAAGTGTGGTTATGGTTGTATTATGTATTATATCTAGCAATAGGTTGTAGTGTTATGGCTAAGTCTGAGTTGGAGTTGTTCTTTGAATTATAACTAGTTTCACCAGCATAGACGTCCAATCAAAAATAATGAATGTGATTTCCCTTGGCTGATGACTAAGCCAACACCGTCCCATTTTTTTACCCGCGGTTTTTTTAAGCAGTAAATTTTAAGTGTCACATTACAGACGTGTCGTATTGAAGGGGGGAAAAACACAGAAAAACCCGAACCAAATTCAATCATATTTCACTGGGCACGGCGAGTTTTATCTGGCAATTAGCGGCAGGTCCTCTAGAGCTAGTCATTTCCGTACGTATATCTGTAGTGTAGAATGAACATTTCAGTATCAGGAATGGTTTTTTAACACTATCTTGGGGGTTGGGAGGCGGGAGGGGGGGGGGACTTCAATTAGAGGTGGGTATCTGTTAAACTGGCTTTGGAGGAAGGGGGCGTCTGTTAAATTAAAATAGTGGCTTTCTTCAGCGAGTCTTTGTTTTTAAACTGGTGACCTAGTTCAACAAAAAGTGAACTAATACTGCAACTAAAAGTGAACTAGTGCATTTAAAAGTGAATAAGTTTAACCTAAAAAGTGAAATAGTTCAACTTAAAAAGTAAAAATAGTTCAACGTAAAATGTGAAATAGTTCAACCAAAAAAGTGAACTAGTTTAACCAAAAAAGTGAAATAGTTTAACCAAAAAAGTGAAATAGTTTAACCAAAATAGTGAAATAGTTTAACCAAAAAAGTGAAATAGTTTAACCAAAATAGTGAAATAGTTCAACTTAAAAAGTGAAATAATTAAACCAAAAAAATGAAATAGTTTAACCAAAAAAGTGAAATAGTTCAACTTAAAAAGTGAAATAGTTTAACCAAAAAAAATGAAATAGTTTAACCAAAAAAGTGAACTAGTTCAACAAAAAGTGAACTAATTCAACTGTCAAGGCTAGTAGTGAACCAACCCCGGCAAGAACTAGTTCAGGCAAGCATACTTGAAAAGTTCCCATGAACAAAACCACTCAAGAAAGAAAGCTCATCAAAGGTTGCTGTGGCCGTGTGGGAGGATTTGATTGATTGATTGGCGTATCGATTTTTTAAAACACCTGATTGATTTAAAGTTGGAGAGTTCCGAGCGAACATTTCTTCTGACTAAAGGGAGGTAATTAGGTCAAGTAGTGATTTCTTAATTACCGCCCCTGTCACTTTCGGTTTGTCATTGGGAATAATTTTAGCCTGGGTGTTTTGTTTACATGTCCAGGTGATGGTGGAGGGGAGGCTGGGGTTATGTAGCTAAAGGTGGAGGGGGGGGGGACGGCAGTGTTAGGGCCACTTTTGATAGGGGGCGTGGTCAAGCGTGAGATGACTGACACAAACGTCTAGAGTTCTATTTCCGGTTTAAATGTGATGAAAGCTATAGAAATGAGGACGATGAGGTCCTACAGTCGACAGGACCATGATGTCCTATAGTCTAGATACTATGATGTTCTATAACACAGAGGACCATGAGGTCCTACAGTCGTTAGGCAGATGATGTCCTACAGGACCATGATGTCCTACAGTTTAGAGGACTATGATTTCCTACGCTCTAGAGCAGGGGTCTCCAAAACTACGGCCCGCGGGCCGGATGCGGCCCGAGAAGTCCCCTCATCCGGCCCGCGGAGATCTTTTTGTCCGATGAAAAATCGTTTGTCGGTGATTGCTGAGGAACTTTTCTCAGAAAAATCAAATACATGCCTGGAAAAAACTGGCCCCCCGAACTGAAACTTGATAGTTAATGCGGCCCTCTGGCTGAAAAGTTTGGAGATCCCTGCTCTAGAGGACCATGATGTCCTACACTCTAGAGGACCATGATGTCCTACACTCTAGAGGACTATGACGATGTCCTAATATTAATGGACTGATTTTAAACTGGTTGGACTGTGCTGTTCCCATCCTTCAAGACTTGCTACTGTGATATTTTATTACCTGTGATGTTTTATTACCTGTGATGTTTTATTACAAGTAATGTTTTATTACCTGTGATGTTTTATTACATGTGATGTTTTATTACATGTGAAGTTTTATTACATGTGATGTTTTCTTACCTGTGATGTTTTCTTACATGTAAAGTTTTATTACATGTAATTTTTTATTACCTGTGATGTTTTATTACAAGTAATGTTTTATTACCTGTGATGTTTTATTACATATGATGTTTTATTACCTGTGATGTTTTATTACCTATGATGTTTTATTACCTATGATGTTTTATTACCTATGATGTTTTATTACATGTGAAGTTTTATTACATGTGATGTTTTCTTACAAGTAATGTTTTATTACCTGCTTTGTGGTTAAGAAAACCTAAGTTAATGGCAGGATCAGATCAGCCCCTAATGAGTTTTAACTTTTATCTTGGTGTGTGTGTGTGTGTGTGTGAGGGGGGGGGGCAGTCTTTCAAGTGAGTAGAGAGATAATTGAATACAGTGGGGGGGATATGATTAGTGAGGTGAGATTAGATAGGGGGAGAATTTAGCTTGTTTACAGTACTAAAGACATGGATAGCTATCTTTAGCTACCCAGACAACATTTAGTTTTACTTGTATAAGTATCAGCGAGCTGTAGCTAAAGACTATTTAGCTATAGCAACTTCATACGTACCAGCTAGCTCTAGTTACTTAAAGACCCTTTAGCTATAGCTTCACAAGTACCAGCTAGCAGTAGGTATCCAAAGACCAGTTGTATCATCCTAAACCTAACTAACTCAAGCCATCTTAACCATCCACTAATCAACCCCCCCCCCCCCTAAAAAAAACAACCCAATAAAGGTCCATTTTCTACCCTTAGATATCAGCTAACACGTCATTATAAACCAACTGTAGTGTTATGGTGTCAATTAAACACTTGATCTGATCATGCATGACATTTTTCCAATTCCTGCCAACCCAACAAAGATTATGTTGTCATGTATGACATTCATTAGTCTATGTCAGTCCTAATTGACCTAAAAATACAAGACATTCACTGATCAGTGCAAACAATTAAAACACAGAAGACAAGAAAAAATTCTTCCATATGTTTATTTAGTTGTATGAAAGATGGAATGTTTTAGCTTGACATGATGGCAGTAGGCAGTGTCACATGAGGACATTAGAATGTGCTATATGACAGTAGACTGTGTCATGTGATGACATTAGACTGTGTCACATGACAGTACATGTCACATGACATTAGACTATGCCACATGACAGTAGACTGTGCCATATGACATTAGACTATGCCACATGACAGTTGACCATGTCACACAGAAGGCACGATGAAATTAATTCATTAATTATAAAACATGAGAAAACAGATCACTAGATTCCATTATAACAATAATTCCTTACATCAAGACCAGTTCAACAAATGTAGGATCAACCCTAGGTTAATCAACAAAGTTTACATCTCAACAAGGATTAACCCTAGGTTAATTAACAAAGTTTACATCTCAACAAATGTTGTAGGATCAACCCTAGGTTAATTAACAAAGTTTACATCTCAACAAATATCAACATAATATAACCGTCTCAAATAAAAATCCTTCAGTAAATATCTTAAAATATGTGTATACAAAATATGACTTATAAACCAACATAGAACACAGGAAGATGACATAACAAAGTAACTTAATCAAAATGATGTCACTAAAAAACTAAGCACAACCGATGAAGTCTGTATACAGTTAAACAAGTCCTCAATAGAACTGTATTTATGTGCTGAGTAAATATTCTGAAACAAGACATCCCACACCCAATTAGCGTAAATATTGAGCATTATATTCCACTTGTTTTTATTTGTATTTCTGTATTTTTTATTTCCATGCATGTTTTCTTTTGAATTTGTATTCTTTTTTTTTTTAATTTATATTTGTTAAATTGTATTCCTGGTTTTTCTTCCGATTTCAGTGATAATCCTAGCAGAATAACAAGATGCTAAAACTTAATTTTCGTCTAATTTAATTAAGTTTTAAGCTGAGCTCCTACATATTTAAAATTGCCTAACTTTTAGAAAACCAAAAAAGAAAAAAAAACCTATCCAGAAACATAGATGATTTTTTTTAAAGAACAAAAAATTTTAAAACTTGATTTGACCTAAAGGCTAGCAGCATCAACAAAAAAAAAAAAGTAACAAAATGTTTTCAACAAAGATGAGCAAGCACAGAGGTGAGAAGTCAGTGTCGGCCATCTTGACCCTCACAGAGTTCATAGGTCAGGGCAGCCATCTTGACCCTCACAGAGTTGATAGGTCAGGGGCGGCCATCTTAACCCTCACAACACAGGCGGCTGGTGGAACTCAACAGGTGATGGGGTGGGCAGGCAGGACTTTACCTGTGCAGGTGCCAAATCCCACACGATAGCCGTTGCCCTCACAGTAGCCTGAAATTGTTTTTTTTTAAATCCAAGATTAAAATAAATTTTACAATGTTATGGCTGCATTGAAAGCAAAATATAACTCTACAAACATAGATTTACACAATGATTGACACATAGACTTACATTTAATTTAAACTGTTTAACAGCACACACAAAGTTGCGCCCATAGATAACACAGCAATAAAACAAAGATGGTCGCATAAATGTCATTATAAACAAAATACGAAAAAAAACCACAGACCACAAAAGAAACCTTCAAAACAGAAAAAAAAATAAGCACTGACCATGAAAGATGACCTTCAAAAAAAAACTGACCATGAAAGTAAACCTTCAAAACAGAAAAAAAAGCACCACTGACCATGAAAGATGACCTCATATACTACAGTAATTAAAAAAAAGCACCACTGACCATGAAAGATGACCTCATATACTACAGTAATTTTAAAAAACCCACTGACCATGAAAGATGACCTCATATACTACAATAATTTTAAAAAACCCACTGACCATGAAAGATGACCTCATATACTACAGTAATTTAAAAAAACCACTGACCATGAAAGATGACCTCATATACTACAGTAATTTAAAAAAAACCACTGACCATGAAAGATGACCTCATATACTACAGTAATTTAAAAAAAAACACTGACCATGAAAGATGACCTCATATACTACAGTAATTTAAAAAAAACCACTGACCATGAAAGATGACCTCATCCCCATCTTGCAGAAACTTCCTGGTCAGTCCGTTGCCCAGGTCAACAGTTCTGGTACCTTTCCAGCAGAGTTCCAGCATAGATCCCAGGGAGTCTTGTGTCTGATGGGAGAGGAGTCTAATGGTTAGCTTGATAAACTTTCTATGTACTATCTATATAATACAGTTACTGATCTTTCTAGCTGCAACTAATGATGTGGCCAGGATAGACATGCACATATAAAAAAACACTCAAGACTATTATTCAGCACATTTGTTACCAACAAACTATTTATTCTACCTAAGTCTGCTGTCAAATGTAAATCCAACGCTTCCTCTCATATCTTTGCCTACCAACTGCCTTCTCGTTTCTCTACTACATCACACTCAAACTACATATTCAACAAATAAAAAATAGAAAACCTTTCAAACCAAATTTTACCCTCTCCCGAATTATTATCTAGCCTTAAAAAACCCTAATCAACTGCTACTGTCATTATCTATATTCAGTCTGTTCACTTATACCTCCAGATCGACATAAATGTACACCATCAATACCTTATAATGTACGAATGACAGGAGTCTTACATTAAGGTTCATTTGTACATTCAAAACTACATAAGCAAATGTATACCATCATAGAGAGGCATCAATCTATATATATAATTCTCTTCTGGGAGCCGTTTGAAAACAAGCTGCAAACGCGCCTTGCAATCCCCTCTCTTCCTCACTAGGCATAAATCAACCTCCCCCACCCCCGCATGGTCTAATGAGCTGTAGTTCACTCTAAATGTTTACAAAACAATCGTAGAGCAGGGTTTGGTGACGGCTATTAGGGGCAGATAATTCAGTTTGAAACTATTTTAAACTTAGAGGAGGTAACTAAGAGGAGGCTGCTTTCAGGGGGGGGGGGGGGGGGGGAATGGGGGTTTAGTGTTTTAAAGCAAATATTTTCAGAGGCAGCATTGGTACTGTCAAATTCACAAATTATGAATTACTGAAAAGTAGAAAAAACAACTAAATAGCGGCGTATGATACGCCGCGGGTCGGCTCGTACCTTATAATGTATGAATGACAGGAGTCTTACATTAAGGTTCATTTATTCCCACAGTGTGCTTGTGTAGCTTACAGTTTAATAGTAGAAAATAAAACAATAATATAAAAATCTTTATAATAATAGGCTTTAAATGCCTGAAAACGAGAACGTTAATTAAAGTTGTTTTCTTTAATAAAAGAACTGTTGCTCATGAAACCTCATACACATTTTGACAACAAATGCTTTTATAAAAGAAAGTAAAATAGTTTTATTTTCTCACTTTCAGGGCATTTAAAAGCTTGTTCTTATTTTTTTCTTAGTTGTAATGTCAGACGTGATTTCAATCAACACATTGGACACAACCAAGAATCTTCTCAAAATTATTCTAAATGAACATTAAATATTTTTTTAAATCTTTTGTTTTATTTTGTACTTTTTAGTCATATGTTCTTCGTGAAGCTGTTATCTCCCTTAAGCTGTTATCTCCCTTTTACTATTGAATTTGGTAATTTTTTAATATGACAAATCTAAAATGTCTAATTAGAATATATTAGACATTCTTGTTTTGTCAACGAAGATAAATATATGTGGAAAGTTTGAACAAAATAGATGCATTAGCAGTAGAAAAAAACTTAAATTTACCACCAACCAACCAACAGACGTAGGGATGAAATAAAAGCTTATAATAAACTGACCTCGCCAGAAATAGTTCCTGAGCCCATCAGATCCCCGGGGTTAATGTTGCATCCAGAGACTGTGTGGTGGACCAGTTGTTGTTTCATGGTCCAGTACATGTACTGGTGGATATAAAGCACATTGTCTAAGCAAATTGGATCTTGTGATTACATGTACTAGTAGATTAGAAGAAGATTTGTTTGGCCAGATTATCTGGCTTAATAAAAAGTGAAACGAGCAGAAAAAAAAATACTTTAAAATTGGATCTTGTCATTTTAAATGTAGATCTACTAGTAGATTAGAAGATTTGTTTGGCCAGATTATCTGGATTAAATAATTAAAAAGAGCAGAGAAAAAATTTACTTTAAAATTGGATCTTGTGATTACAGCTGGCTTGTTCATACCATCGGCTGAAACAAAAACAGGATGAGAGTATCATACAACTTATCCAACAGTTATCATACAACTTATCCAACAGTTATCATACAACTTATCCAACAGTTATCATACAACTTATCCAACAGTTATCATACAACTTATCCAACAGTTATCATACAACTTATCCAACAGTTATCATACAACTTATCCAACAGTTATCATACAACTTATCCAACAGTTATCATACAACTTATCCAACAGTTATCATACAACTTATCCAACAGTTATCATACAACTTATCCAACAGTTATCATACAACTTATCCAACAGTTATCATACAACTTATCCAACAGTTATCATACAACTTATCCAACAGTTATCATACAACTTATCCAACAGTTATCATACAACTTATCCAACAGTTATCATACAACTTATCCATCAGTTATCATACAACTTATCACAACAGTTATCATTTAACTTATCCTACAGTTTTCATACAATTAATCCAACAGTTATCATAGAACTTATCCTACAGTTATCATACAAGTTACCCAACAGTTATTATACAACTTATCCTATAGTTATCATACAACTTATCCATCAGTTATCATACAACTTATCCCAAAAGTTATCTAACTTATCCAACAAGATATTGATATTTATTCACCCAGCTATTCTGATCCACACAGCTGTTCCATGACAGGATGAAATATCCATGTACAATTTTACACTCAGACAGTCACATACAACTGTTAGCACATGTCATGTGGGCACATGACATTTTCTTACAAAAAATAAACAACGGCCATCAATAAGAAAAATACAAATTTAAAAAAAAAAAAAATACCCAAGATTGACACGTCCAACTTGATATCAAAATTGTAATCGTCAGCGTGACGCAGGTAAGGCAGAGGCACAGGATCCTGTGGGATAGACAGATAGAACTTATTGCAGTCCCCATATCACTACATAACAAACCAGTGAACAAAAACACAAGTTCCCCAGTTAAACATATAGATTTGGCAAAACTTGAATTCACTGACACACGAAACAAAAGTGTATTATTTATACCTGGGTCATGTTGGGGGCAATGAAAGGTCGGAGGGCATCCATAGTCACAACCCAGGGAGAAATGGTTGTCCCCAGGTTCTTGGCTAGGAATGGACCCAGGGGAACGTACTCCCATTTCTGGATGTCCCGAGCTGAAACACACAAGTTGTGAGAATAAAATCAAACGCAATGGACAGAATTTACAAATACAAATCTGTATGGCTAGCGGGATCAAGTAAAACAAGAAGGGGAAATGGAATGAGACAAAAAAGTTATAAATAAAGTAATCAGTCATAATTTCTTCACACACCCACTTGATGCAAAACACACACACACAACTATAAAAACACAAGTTCAACAAGAAGATAAAGTTCAGGGGAAATGGAATGTGATAAAAAAGCTATAAAAACAAAATAATGAGATAATTTCTTCACACACACATAAGTGATTATACAACACACACATAACCAAAACTACACACAAGATTCGCACAATTCACAAATACAAATACTTTACACACAAATTTGCATACTTGACACACACAACTATAAACTAAACACAAGAATTACACAATTCACAAATACACACTTAGAACACAAATCTGCACACTTGACACACACAACTACACACAAACTCATGACACATCTCCACCACGCATGCTCCACCAACTACCCACCACTCCAGTCGTTCATCAACACCATCCCAAAGATGTGGTCCTCAGCCTTCTCCATTGTGACTGGGTTCCCCAGCAACGTGGCTGGGCCAGTGAAGAAAGCCGTCTCCAGCTCAAAGTCAAACAGCCTGCACGGTCCAAACACTGGGGGCGACTCTAGAGATCAACAAAACAAAACACTTCAATTGAAGAATTCTGAATTTTTTTATTACACTGATGGGGTCACTAAATTCGTTAAAGCATTCTCAATTTTTTTATCAAATCATACAAAAAAAACAGTTAAGAAAAAAAAAAAAAGAGGAAATAAAAGTAAAAGTTCTTCTTTAAAAGAAAAGTTTTTTAAAAGATGTGTTTTATGTAGATAGGCACTAAGTACATCACTAAACATATTTGAGTTTTTTAAAAAAAAAAAAAGCCAAGTTGAAATAAATGAACTTACTTTCATCAGGCAAGGTTTGACCATTTGGTCTACGAATTGGAGTCCCAGACACAACGACAGACGAGGCTCTCCCATGGTAACCTACTGGTAGATGTGTCCTGTCAAAGTAATGTCACAGAGATATGAACTTTAGTAATGTAAATTTTACATGGTTAGAAATGCAAATAGAAAGAACTGTTAGTGTTGTAAACTGAGTCAAAATATCCTTAGTACACATTTAGTTTCAGATTTATAACATTTTAATCAGAGTAGCTTCCCTTTTATCAACATTCTCACACATATCCATTTTATAATTAACAGTATACCAGATGACACTTATAAAATATTGCAACAATACATACAAAATTAAATGGTTGCTTCAAGTATTTAGTTATTATTATCAGTTACCTACAAATATAATAATATTCTATGTCTGCTTTCAAACTTATTTCAGCTCAAGCTTTAAGAAAAATATGTGGCTCTTACAATGCATGCAATTGAGCCAGCACAGCATTCTAAAATATATTTCTATATTCTCAGTTTATTTTACTGGGCTTACAGTCCAGCGCTAGGAATAAAGATGTCAGAATTAAATGATAACTTGCCAGTTAGGACCATTAGGAATAAATTGTTGCCAAAAGTGACCAGAATTCAAAAGTTAAGAGCACTAGGAATGGCTTCAAATGTGGCCAGAATTCAATGACTTGTCAGTTAGGACTACTAGTAATGGCTTGCTGTCAGGAGTGGCTAGAATTCAACCATGACTTACCAGTTAGGATTGAGGGCATTCTGCGGATCACGGAACATGCAACCAACATTGAAGGCGTGGTTTTTCGATGAATAGAAATCTGTGTAGTCGCCTGTTGGGGTGTGTGTAATACTTTATCAATAATCATAAACAGCTGATATGTTTGGCTTCAAATTATTTACAAAAAATGATACGCAGGATGTCTTCTGATTTTCTAAATTTTATGTTTACTATCAAATAAGTACAGTGATCAAGGTAAATTTATTTTAAACGAGGATCTTCTAAAAACCTGAGGGCTAGTTCTAGCAGCTAAAACAAACAATTGCACTTACATTACAATAACTAGCCTTTCAATACCACAATAAGAAGTTACAATACAATAAGTCTTACAATACAATACCAAAGCTAACCTTACAATTACAAAACTAGCCTTACAATATCTCAAGTCTTACAAGACCAGAATAAGTCTTATACCACAGCTACCCCAACAATACCACAAGTCTTACATTTGTAAGTCTTACAATACCACAATTATGCTTACCAATAGCAGCTGGGAGGTGCATGGTTGCATGATTTTGTAACACAAGGGATCTGGATAAAAAGAAAAGCGTACATATTTTAGCTTTCAACATAGTTTATTAGTTAAGACTAACTTGTTCCCAATAAAAGATTAGGTCTGTAGTGGGCTTCTTCATATTAAATTAATTCAAAAAATTCACTTTAAAATATCTCCCATTATTTTAAATGCAGAGAAACATTTTAAAAATGATTATTATATTTCACTAAAAAAATGTATATTGTCATCTGTTCTATTATTTTTTGTAACAAGATTATACTTCACAAGAAACCTGGATTTATTTATTCAAATATCTGATGATGCCACAGCTTTTAGCTTCTATCTCCTAACGTAAAATAAGTGGTTTAAAAAACATTTAGCACAAAACTAAATAGATCAATACTACTAGTTTACTACTAGTCCCACCTTGATCTTAGTACAGCATCATCGCGAAGGACAGGTTCGGACTCAGATAAGACCTTCTGCAGAGTCTGCCTAGCTTCACTCCAAGCACTGCGACCCAAGCCCATAAAGGCATTAAGAGTTGACTGTCAAGTAAAAGACACAACCAAATTTATTTGAAACATTGTCTTTTCAATAATGGTGCATGTAAAAAAAATTGTGTTTTTTTTTTATGCAGGAGGTCTATATTACATTTTAAGAAAAAAATTTGGAAGTAATTAATTAAAAAGGGTAAAAAACATTATTTGATTGCCAGTAAATTTATTCAGTAAAATTTCTACTTTAAAAATAGACTGATGTAACTGCTATTGAGTTAGGGTTAGGATCAGCTAAGAGATTTCACAGTAAAAATATCTAAAAAAAAAACTGATCTTAGAAGTGTACAAATTTCTTTAACATTTGAGAAGAAAAAGAAAATATTCATGTTAAAGAACACTGTTTTAAATTTAAATTAACAACCTATATTATCCTTAACTAACAAAAATGCCCATAGCACAGTGGCCTACATTTACAAACACGCAAACAAACAAATTGCTAGATTCTAATTTTACCTGCTCGAATGCATGCTGCAGCTCAGCGCTAGTGAACAGATGCTTCACCTCAGACAAGTCCAAAATGTAATCTCCAATAGCAACTCCAATACGCTTGTTAGGCTGAAAATTAATTGTCATGCGCATTAGGCCCAAAAAAATTGATACCTTTTTTTAGTAATTTTTAATTTAGGACAATTTACTGGACTTAGGTAGACTAAATCAGATCTAGTACTAGAGGCAGTATGGCCCTATAGCCAAAATCACTTCAGGCACTTTGCTTGGGGTAGGCTAGGAAGAAACTAATTAATCATTAAACAAATAGGCCTAGTTAGCCTATAGTTACAGTAGTTCTAAACTAGTAGATCTAGTAGTAGTAGTAGGCCTATTTTTACAAGGCACAAATTTTTTAAAAAATTAAACCGCTTATTAATTAAAATTAAAACAAAAGAAATTTTTAAAAAATGTTCCACTTTTTTTATTTTTAAATTGTTAGGCCTAGCTAGACTAGATCTAGATTTCTACTTGTAAATAAATGAGGAAAGTACTGGGCATGTTGGGTGTTTCTAGATCTAGATTTAGGCCAATAAGTCTCCATCATTTGACGTTTTAGATTTCTAGATCTAGATCCAAAATAAATTAATAATCAATAGGCCTAGCTTATGTAGCATATAATGACATATAGATATCTAGTCTATTATCTACCTGTCCTATGGATTGTGTTACAAATATGAGTTGTTTCCCTTGCCAGGCTAAAAAACAAGTGTCTACCAATAAAATTCTTTAAAATAAGATTATTACGCTTATTTGATGCTTACATTGGCTGAAGTTGAAAATACTCCATAAGGTAAATTTTGTATTGGAAAGTCGCTGTCTGGTGCAACAGAAATAAAAGACATTTTCAATGTTAAGTGTAAGAAACGTTTGCAAATCGTTGCCGATACAGGTAGCATGCGAAAGTGAAAGTA